GTTTAAACTTCTGATATAAAGGAATGTAAAGTATGTAAAGTATGCATGACTTTCACCTGTTTCAAGTGCTAAACAAATATTATAAAGAACAACAAGTTGAAAGCCTGAAGTTAGAACCAAGAATAAATTATCCACAAAAAGTGACATGAATTTGACAAGTGTGTCTGACAAGTGGTGAATTGATGGCGGATTTCTATGGAAGTGGAAAGGAGTGCCCCCCTGGTGTTAAAAGAATGAGAGGTAGTCCTACTGTCAACCCTGTATATTAATCAACCTTTTGTCCAGGGTTCGCTAATATCATCAGTAATAGCGTGGAGCTAGGGAACCAACATTTCAAGGAGGGGGGGGGAGGGGGGGAAGGCGGAAGGGGGAATTGTCAATTTGTCAAATCTTCATAGAAACACACATGAACAACAAATACAGTTGAGGGGGTGCAAATATATACTTAAGTAATTTTAGCTGCATTTTTAAACGTGGAACTTAATTTTTGACATTTTGCGATAATTATAAATTATTTGTTCATTCTAACTTCTACATAATTGATCGAAGAAGAAAAGTGTACAGTTGTTCAGTTCAGTAATAATTACAGTGTCCATTTTGTAATTTGTACACTTTGTAGAAAGTTGTTTATGGATTTCACGGATTTTCAAAGCATTGAATCATTTGTCCTTCTAAACTTAGGATGCAGATGATACACATGATTGGATAGTGGTATATTGGATAGTAGTTGATTGGATAGTAGTAGATTGGATAGTAGGTGATTGGATAGTAGTAGATTGGATACTAGGTGATTGGATAGTGGTATATTAGATAGTAGTTTATTGGATAGTAGTAGATTTGATAGTAGTGTATTGGTTAATAGTTGATTGGAAATGAGTTAATTGGAAAGTAATAGATTGGATAGATAGTAGATTGGATAGTGGTTGATTGGAAAAGAGTAGATTGGATAGTGGTTGATTGGATATAAGTTGATTAGATAGTGGTTGATTGGGTAGTAGTTGATTGGGTAGTAGTGTATTGGTTAATAGTTGATTGGAAATGAGTTAATTGGAAAGTAATAGATTGGATAGTAGTTGATTAGATAGTAGTTGGCTGGATAGTAGTTGATTGGATAGTAGTTGATTAGATAGTTGTTGATTGGATAGTAATTGGTTGATTGGTTAGTTGGTTGGTTGGTGGGTAGGCTGGTTGGTTGACTGGTAGGTTGGTTGGATGTCTGCTTGGTTAGTTGATTGGTTGGTTGGTTGATTGGTTGGTCGGTTGGTTGGTTGGTTTGGTTGGGTGATTGTGAGGTTATTGAGTACTTGGGAAGTTGAGTCAGTGTGCGTTTTATTGGTTGTCTGATTTGGGTAGTTGGGTAGTTCTTTAGTTTCTCAGTTAATTGGTCGGTTGGTTGGTTGGTTGGTTAGTTGGTTGGTTGATTGTTTGGATGGTTGAATGCAATATTTGGTGAGTTGGTTGTTTGGTTAATTTTCATGTTGGTTGGCTGGTTGATTTTGATGTTGATTAAATAGATGGTTGCATTGTTGGTTGGATTATTTATTGATTGGTTGGTTAGTTGGTAAATTAAGTAAATATTTGTTTGGTTGGTTGGATGGTTAATCTAAAAGGATTGTTAGTTTATTAATTGGTTGGTTGGTTGGATTTTTTATTGATTGGTTGGATAGTTGGTTAATATATTAAAATATTTGGTTGGTTTGATGGTTGGTTGCTTGGTACGCCTTGGTTGATTATTTGAGTGAGATATTTGAATGGTTAGTTTGAATTGTTTGTTGGTGGTTAGTTGGTTGTTATGTGGTAGGTTGATTGTTTGCTTAGTTTGTAGTTTTGTTGTTAGTAGGTTGGTTGATTGGTCCGTTGGTTGTTCTGTGGTTAGTAGGTTGATTGATTGGTCCGTTGGTTTTTCTGTGGTTAGTAGGTTGGTTGATTGGTCCGTTGGTTGTTTTGTGGTTAGTAGGTTGGTTGATTGGTCCGACAGTTTGGGTCGTAAGAAAATCTTATTTTCCTCTATTAAGAACAAAATAAATTACAAAATAAATACCCTACCACGAGCCTTTAATTTAGGAAAATGACTAAGCTTGTTTTTTTCACTTCTAAAAGCGCAAATGCCGAAAAATAATATGGAGAAGGCTGATAATCCTTATAAATCATTTTTAAATATCCAACTGAAGTCGTTATTTCTAAACTGTTAACTTAACATCGGCACGGAATAGTCTTTGCAAAGATATTCGCACAGTTAATGAGCGGAAAATGCAATTTTCTGTAACTGTGCAAAAGTTCAATGAAAAATTTCACAACCATATATATAAATATTTGTATATATGAACCACAGTGAACCAGGCACAAAGACATCTATATAAAGGATGACACAAAAAAAGTGTGACTAGCGGCGTTTGGTGCAAAATTGTACCTTTTTTGTATGGTATTTTTTCAATATTTTTCAGATTTTTTTTCAAATAGACAAAAAAATGCTCAACACTTTTTTCTCTCAAAATCAAAAATTTAGAAAAGCAAAAATCCAGAAGAGTTGCACACAAAAAGGTACAATTTTGCACCAGACGCCACTATTCACACTTTTTTTTACTCACCCTGTATAGTAAATGTTTTTCTTAATTCGGTTTTTTAAAGTGTTTTTATATTCCACGGACAACGTCGGGCACTTCGACAAGTAATTATAAAATAAATGTATACATTCAATTTGTTAATGCAGTGTTAAAGTAATTGTGAAAATAAGTGTTACAAGTAGTTGAGACAAAATGTGTTGAAAGGGTTGAAAAGGGTTAGTAAAGGGAGACTTAAATAAAACCCTAATATAATGTTTAAAGTGGGGGATAAAGGGAGAGTTAAAGGAAGTTTTAGTATGAGTATTAAACGGAGTGTTAAAGGGAGTGTTAAAGTGAGTATTAAAGGAAGTTTTAGTATGAGTATTAAAGGGAGTGTTAAAGGGAGTGTTAAAGGGAGTGTTAAAGGAAGTTTTAGTATGAGAATTAAAGGGAGTGTTAAAGGGAGTGTTAAAAGGAATGTTAAAGGGAGTGTTTAAGGAAGTTTTAGTATGAGTATTAAAGGGAATGTTAAAGGGAGTAATTGAGTGAGTGTTAAAGGGAGTGTTAAACTCAGTGTTTAAGGAAGTTTTAGTATGAGTATTAAAGGGAGTGTTAAAGGGAGTGTTAAAGTGAGTATTAAAGAGAGTGTTAAACTCAGTGTTTAAGGAAGTTTTAGTATGAGTATTAAAGGGAGGGTTAAAGAGAGTGTTACAGGGAGTGTTAAAGGGAGAGTTAAAGAGAGTGTTAAAGTGTGTGTTAAAGGAATTCTTAAAGGAAGTGTTAAAGGGAGAGTTAAAGGGAGTTTTAAAGAGATTGTTAAAGGGACTGTAAAGGAAAAATTAAAGGGGGTATAGGCTGAAAGCTAATCACTTTAGCTCTTGATCGCGACCCATGAAAGTTTTTTCTGATGTTCCTGTCTCGAGAAATTGATATAAAACTGTGTTAAAATTATGCGAAAGTACATATATGTAAAATTGATAAAATCTTAAACTTAAATCACGTGACCAGAAATATCACCAATGGCAGAGCAGTATACTGAACACGTGTCTCCGCCTGTATCACGTGACTACTTTACTGCACTGCCATTGGTGGAATTTCTGGTCAAGTAATACGGACGTATGAATAATATTATGAATGAAATCTATTAAAAATAGAAATAACAAATATAAAAGTAAACCTAATTTACAATTAGCTTTCTCTGGGATATCATCGTTTTCAGATTGGTTTACTTGCTGAATTTGATCTTTTTAAACCCACTACTTTTATACAAAATTGTATATATATTAATTTTCGTATAAACTTGACAAAGTTGATCAATATCTCGAGAAAGGAACATCAGATATATCTTTCATGGGTCGTGATAGAGAGCTTTCATCCTATACCCCCTTTCATTTTTCATTTACAGTCCCTTTAAAGAGAGTGTCAAAGGGTATAATAAAGGGAGTGTTAAAGGGTGTGTTAAAAGAAGTTTTAATGGAAACTATCTTGTGAAGGGAGCTTTAAAGAGATTTTTAAAAGTGTTTTATCTTAAACATCAAATATTATATTTTTATCAGACCACCTTCATAATCATTATAATTTTAATAGATTTCATTCATAATATTATTTATACGTCCGTATTACTTGACCAGAAATTCCACCAATGGCAGTGCAGTAAAGTGGTCACGTGATACAGGCGGAGACACGTGTTCAGTATACTGCTCTGCCATTGGTGATAGTTCTGGTCAAGTAATACGGACGTATAAATAATATTATGAATGCAATCTATTAAAAATAGAAATAACAAATATAAAAGTAAACCTAATTTACAATTAGCTTTCTCTGGGATATCATCGTTTTCAGATTGGTTTACTTGCTGAATTTGATCTTTTTAAACCCACTACTTTTATACAAAATTGTATATATATTAATTTTCGTATAAACTTGACAAAGTTGATCAATATCTCGAGAAAGGAACATCAGATATATCTTTCATGGGTCGTGATAGAGAGCTTTCATCCTATACCCCCTTTCATTTTTCATTTACAGTCCCTTTAAAGAGAGTGTCAAAGGGTATAATAAAGGGAGTGTTAAAGGGTGTGTTAAAAGAAGTTTTAATGGAAACTATCTTGTGAAGGGAGCTTTAAAGAGATTTTTAAAAGTGTTTTATCTTAAACATCAAATATTATATTTTTATCAGACCACCTTCATAATCATGGGCGCTATTAAGTCGCCATTTTTTCTTCGCTTTTTTTTCGTGGATTTTTCTGTTTAGATTGTTAAATTTTTATAACAAATAAATAAATATTCGACCGTCCATAAAACTATTCTTGGGGAATTTTAATTTACCTTTGAAAAATCTTTGGACGCGACCTGATCAGTGATTTTGGCGTGATTGGATACAGACAAACAAGCCAGACGTATTTTTATCAGATGTTTGATAGATAAATTGAAAATTTTGACCTATCTGATTCGTACCTGATTCTATCCCTCTCCTCTCTGGTATCTTTTATCACGCTGACCGTCAAGGGTTGAACTGTTATCTCTCGAACTGTATAATCCTTCTCCGAGTACCCTGCAGACTGTAGAATACTGCGGTTCATATTTAACCCATCTATCTCATCCAATGTGTAGGTTTTAATATGATTTCCAACATCTTTCAGACTATAATCTTTAACTGACGGTTCAGGCGAATAATTTTTCACCGAGGAGTCTAAGAGGTAATTTTTAACTAGAGGCTCAGCTGATATATGCCTTAACAGTGGCTCCATATCTTTCACATAATCCTTCACTAAAATATCTTGAGAGTAATCCTTCCCATCCCCCCGTCCACCGGGTCCAGAATCCCGAAATAACTCTGGTTGAAACTCTGAATCCCTATGGAAGACTGTATCTCTTGGTAGAGGTAAAAACTCTCTAGCAAACTCCTTGGTAGGGTTTAGATCCCTAAGATTGATATCTTTCGAATAATGATCTCTAGGATTTAGTTCTCCTAGGATGAATGCCTCGAGGTCCCTATAGTCCAGCTCTATGTATTCCCCCTCCTGTCGGTTCAAGGAGGGGTCCTGGGGCTCCATAGCTGGGTCCCTGTACACACTACAACTAGATATAGGGATTAGAAAAACTAGAAATCAGTAAAAAAAAAACGTTTTAAGAACTTTTATATTAAAAAATTGGGGGAAATATTTCACAAGGAAATGGTTAAAAAAGAGTTTAAAAAAGGGTCGATTTAAAAAAATTTAGGGGGAATTGAAACCTAAAAAAAGGAAGTTTGAGCAATGGAACGAAAGTTTTTAAACCTACACATTTCTAAGTAAAAAGTTAACCTAAATAATTCTAAGAAAGAGTTTAGATAACTTTCGAGAATAAGAAACAAAAAAAACGAAAAAGTTTTAAAACGAAAACGAAAAAAAATCGAGAAAACAAGGAGGGGAATTCCAATGTTTTTGAAAGGAGAAACATCAAGGAAGGCAAAAACTAGGATTGAATGAAAATTGTAATGTAATTCTTTACCTTAATGAAAAGGGAAGGGGNGGGGTTACGGGGTGCTGAGGGGTTCAAAGAGAGAGATTACTTGGTGCATGAAAACTGCAAATTCACTCTACTACATATTAACGGGAGAAATGTTAAGAGGAAAAAATTAATTATTTTCATTAAAAACAATTTTGTAAAGCTTTGATTGTAATGAGACATTTAAAGATTATAAGAAGAAAGTTGTGAAAATATAAGAAAGTATTCATAAATTGTGTATTCTATTTTAGGGGGTGTGGTCCTCCATTTATAGATGCCATGTGTTCGATCAACAATGGTACATATTTAAAGTTTGTCTGATCATCGACACCGGAGAAATATTTCTCGCTAAAATTGTGTCAAAACTACACCGGGAAAATGCAACAAAAAACTTTATATTTTGTTAAAACATCTTAATAGCCCATTGCGGTTTTATAAAAGAATTGAGTCTTTGCCAAAAACTTATCAAAACTTGAAATACTTGAAAACTTGAAATAATGTCTACACCGTCCTTTAACGTTCTTGAATCAAAGCAAGGTGTTCACAAATTTTGCTAAATCCGGAAACGGACGTTAAAGCGTGAAACGAATTAATGATTCAATAATAGATAAATCCGGTGTTATTGCGCCTAGAGCCAAGGATGGCATATACCATCTATTTCAAGCCACACTCACAAACATTTATTTTAAGGAAAACAAAAAAAGAAACTATTATATTAATTTGTTATTGAAACTTTAAAAGGAATATGTATAAAATATTTGAAATAAGGATTAATCGTATATTATCTATAACTTAAAGTTATATTCTTTTAAAAATAGATTTTGAGATTTACAAACCCCGCATTGTCTTGATTTCTTTTCAACCCCATTTCCTAATGTTCTAATTTCAAGAACCTTTTTATATCTTTTGGGTTGCATGATATAACACCCCTTAATAATAAATGCAAGAAATAAAAGTGTTTTTGTTTTCTTGAAGTTCAACGCGTCGTGTAGAGGTATCGTAATCCTATTTACCAACCTCTACCTCCCCTCCCACATTGTTAAAAGAAGTTTTAATGGAAACTATCTTGTGAAGGGAGCTTTAAAGAGATTTTTAAAAGTGTTTTATCTTAAACATCAAATATTATATTTTTATACAATTACAAGGATGAACCATACTGGGCAGAACATTGTTGATATTGGGCCATTGGCTAAATATATTATATTTCCTATAGATTTTACATGTTCAAAGTAACTCAACACTTACCACAAACTAGAATATTTGCAACCTGATCGTGAAAACCTTTGAAAATATTAAAGCTAGCAGTTCATTGTTTAGAATATTTAAAGTAAGTTCACAAAATCAGAATTGAAAATATCCGATTCAGGGAATTAGTTTCAGACAGCTACACAGAGACCTTAACGAAGAAGAAAGAGACAGCGTAGTTTTAAATATTATAAAACATGTTCTCTTTACCATGATTTAAAAACTTCTTTCTGACACCTCAATATTCATAAATATTTAAATAAATTCTGTTATTTACCTTTCTCTCAGTCCAATGTGTGTACATAAGCGCTCATAGTCTCTACCCTCCCCCTGAGAAACAGTTTGCCTATTTACCCC